TTTGTCTTTTTACAAAGGCCCGAAAAAGGCCGCCTCTTCACGAAACTATATGCATGCACAGAATGTGAAGATGTACGCGTGCAACTTTTCTGGATTTTTTTTGGCACTGAGAAATATATTTTTAGGTGGGTGCAAATATACCCTATTTCATTCATGTATTTTTTCAAGTTTCACTCTAAATCTCTATTCCTAATGTCTGAGTTGGTTGAATAGTATTCACTGTTTATTTTCGTCCCATCACTTTCAACCATTTTATTTCGCTGGTTTTTTTCGTCCCCTCCCCCACCCCACCGGTTTAGTTTCGCATCACCCTCACACAACGAAAAAATCTGAACTGATCAGAACTTTCCATACTGACGCAAGTTATTTAGTTATATCGTTATGTGAAAGAATCAATCACGATCAATCTCTAAAGATCAAAGCTAAATTAATCACCTTAAATCGCTCAATCACATTAATTAGGAAACAAATAACCATTTTTAAGAAATCTCGTTATTAAAGCATTTATGTACCTACTTAATTTGTAATGGAATATTATCTTATTATTAAAGTATTTATGTACCAATTTAATTTGTAATCAAATATTATCCAATGGCAGCAAAAAAAATGTGAACACCTCATCTCACTTCCATCGTCCTGCCCTATCGCTCGAAGAGTCCGAGCGCCGCCGCCACCACGTAGCCTCGTGCCCTACCCCATCCCGGATTCCTCCCTCTCCCTCACTCTCCGTCTCTCGTGCACGCTCACGCAGGGGATGGGCCGCTCGGCCACTCCCCGTAGGCTGCCACCATCCTCCTTGGCATCGTGTCGTCAGCACCTTCGCTAGTTATCGAGGGTTCCATGAGCTCGGTCTGATCCGGTGTTGTCCGGTTAAGAGTCGTGGTCGCCTTTGCCTCTGTCACATCGAGCATCTCTGTGGCCATTGCCGCGCAGATCGTGTAGACTGCCGTCGATGGTGGCCTCTCTATCACTATGGCGCACTGATTCCCCATGTATCCACCGCATTCGAGGACCTCCTCTGGCAAGGACATAGGAGTCAACTCATTGTTGAGGATGGACGGCCGCTGCCACAAGGTGAGAGCTGCTTCATCCTGTAAGGAGGTGGGTGACGTTGCCGCCATTTGTCACGGACCAACATGGATGCCACTTCCGTCGTGTTGGCATGCAGGGCCGGCCCTTAGGGAGGGCAGGGGGGCGGCCGCCCCGAGCTCCCCCAAATTCAGGGGCCCCTCCACTAGTAGAAAAAGGGCCTATTGTCCCGGTTGGTGAGGGCCTTTAGTCCCGGTTCATGAACCGGGACTAAAGGGTCGGTACTAATGCCCTGACCCCTTTAGTCCCGGTTCAATCCAGAACCGGGACAGAAGGGCCTCCACGTGGCCTGTCCCCTGAGCCCAGGCAGGAGGGCCTTTGGTCCCGGTTGGTGGCACCAACCGGGACCAATAGGCATCCACGCGTCAGCGTTTATGTGGCTGTGGTTTTTGTTTTTTTT